ACACAAGATTTTCTTCCATTTAAGCCATATGCTTCAGGTAATATTGCAGTAAAATGAGAATTTAAAATCTTCTTTCTTTTAAGACACATACAAACAGCGTTTAGTTGGCGGAAGACAACTAGATGGAGAAAAATAACATTAATATGCTGAGTCATCCTGCATGGGCTGCTCTTGTTCTTAAAAAGTCGTTCATCAATGAGGCAACTTCTCACCAGCATGACATATGGTAAATCACGAAGCTTTGAGTGTCTGAGAGTAATTCCTGTCTTTGTTGTGTTAATTTGACTTTTTTGGGCTGTCTTGGATGTGCATAAGTAGATGTAAAATGTTATAAAAATAATTTTTGTTATTGCTGATATTGTAATAATTTTCACATAGGTCTAAAGCTTATGTGTTTAGGACAGTTTCATTTCATTCTACATCAGGTTAGTTTGAAAAGGGCGAAACAGTAAGCTAAGAGCCCTATCATCTGGGCTCTCCCAAGGAAAACTTGGTAGTATAATATTAATGCTATCAAAGTTGACTGAAACCAATTAGCAAAAGAAATTGGAAGAAGTAACTTTCAGCAATTACCAAGATCAGCATTGCTAATGACAGAGGACGTCAATATACCATTCGATATCAATTATTTGACTAAGCTTTCCAGAAAAAAGAAACCAGCAAAGATTGACCAAGGATGGTAAAAGGGGAAAGCCAAATAGAGATATAGTGCATATTTGGGGAAGTGATTATAAGCCGTGGGTCCTAAGAAATGTGTGAATAACAAGTGGGTAGTAATTGTGGGATCCACGAAATGTGTGGATAAAAAGTATTTTTGTCCCAAAAGGATTAAATTATAATCACTTCTGAGACAATCATATCTACTACATCAAAGGATTCATTCATTTTACAGCTTATCATGCCCTAAAAAAATAATAGACCTACAGAATGCTACTATTAAGATAACAATCTAAGTACCAATAAAGTTAACTTCCCGAGAGAACATTATTAACCAAGAATTGAGCTGGCCCCAGCTTTAGCTTTCAAGGATTCGGATTGATTATACAAATGAAAGCTCAAGCATAGGCTTGAAGCCTTTAGTAATTTTGCTTCAACTTTGGTAAAAAGAAAAATGTTATAAATTATTAAATAAGCACAAAACAGCTAATAATTTCAACCTAATAAAATTAAATATCTAACATGGCAGTATTATAAAAAGAATAATTAGAAACTTGTGAGCCTGCTTGCGCACTTACTGGTTCTACATCGAGTTTTAACTTTTAAGGATCACGTTCGGCTTGATTAAGAAAATAAAATCTCAAGCATAAGAGTTAAGCCTGTAGTAGTTTGCTTCATTTTTAGTAAAAACCTAAATGCTAAAAATATAATTATAAGCATAAAAAAATTAATAATATTACCTGATCTAATTAAATACCTAATATCGTAGAATGACGAAATGAATAATTAGAAACTTGTGAGCCGTCTTGCGCACTTGCTAGCCCTACATTGAGGCTTGACCTAGTATTCATCGAGTATCCAAGTCAGCTCAAGCTAATCAGCTCGGCCTCAACTTGGAAAGCTTGTGAGGCTGCTCATCTCACTTACAAGTTACAACTCTCAAAGATGGGCGCTGTATATAAGCCACTTACATCAGTTTTTGTATCCATCTCATAAGAAAAAAAATGGGATTTCTTTTCTGTGATCTGTCCGATTTACCATTTATTGCTTTAAAATAGTTGCTCTTCATTGAGCCGAAAAATCCAAAAACTGCATAGCAACAAAAGCATTCTTGCAAGACTTCTTGACGTAAAAGTTTTTGTGTTTTTTCCTCGTTATATTATGTTCTAGTGGCCAAAATCCATTTATATCCCTAAAAGAATAGGAAATTTGACAGAACTTGTTGTTTATACATATCTAAGTGGAATATCACCAACCTAGGAGGTAAATGAATCCCCTGATTCATTATCCAATAAATTAAATGCATCATAATTCTATTGTCAGTTGTCCTCGGAGGGACCCAGTGCCAGCTAGACAGTTGATGATCACTACTAATGAGTAATAATGAATAGCATTACTCCTCTAAGTGTGATCTACCACAAATGAACAGAATCTAATAGCAATCCTCCAATCAACCATTAATGCAGACATACAAAAATTAACATCAAAGCCGCAAGATGGTCTACAGAATTTCCATAAATGTATTCTTTTCCAAGTTTTTTAGCTGATCTTTGCAGATCAAGAACTATATAATCATTGATCAAAGCTATTAAATTGGGGATTAGTTATTCAGGTCAATAACTGAATTATCAAAGCCGCATGATGGTCTACAAAATTTCCATAAATGTATTCTATATCAAGTTTTTTAGCTGCTCTTTGCAGATCAAGAACTATATAATCATTGATCAAAGCTATTAAATTGGGGATTAGTTATTCAGGTCAATAACTGCATTATCAAAATTTGAAAAGTTAAACAGCCTAATTCACCATAAAAGGAAAGAAACTTGAAAACAATTCAAAGCATTGAAAGAAAAATCCTCAGTTAAATGAACAAGAAATTCGATTAAAAAGTAAAATTACAAAAAGTATATCATCAAGATAAATAAATGAACTTAAAAATTTCATACAGTCCAAACTAAACCAGCAAAATTAGATCATAACAACACAATATCTAAATAGAGAAATGCATTCAAGGAGACATTTTTAAAATCAATAAACATACATTTACACAAATACATGCAAGTGTACACAAGATTGAAAATTAATGAGAAAAAGAAGAGGGACCTTGCGCTTGATCTCGTGGATCTGTCTTTCAGAGTCCTCGATGTCGGGCACGAATGAGCTGGGGACCCGACCCGGATCAGTAAAGATAGCAAGCCGGTAGCTGTAGATGCACATGACTGCCAAAAATGTGAAAGCGGTGGCATTCATCATTCCAGGCGAGGACCCAAGTCCAACCCACTGGTCTATGAACACAAACACTGTCGACAAATAGATGTAAACAATGGCAACTGTAACCAGGCTGACGTGAAATGAGAATTTGAACCCACGAGCCATTTTTAATTTTATTATCGAATTCTATTGTTTCTTGAAAGAATGGTGGTAGAGCACCGGCGTAAGGTCAATATACGCGGCGTCTCCGGTGCGGTGGTGGAGAAAATTGGTATTGGTATTCGGGGAGAGGGGTGGGTTTTCTTGAGGTTCCAGTTTCAAGTAAGTGACGCGGTGATCCGGTGGATCGGTGAACCGGTGCGAGGGTTAAGTTTTCTTACATGGTTTTGGAGTCTTCTTTATTTACCCAAAGGCTAAACTTTTACTAATGTTAGTCTTTCTATCTAGAAGCTATCATTCTTGTTGATTTTTAAGCATTTGGTGTTCCTATTTCATTTCTTATTGGATTATTAAACTTTCTTATTGGATTATTAAACTAAGTTTAATAAAATAGGAACAATAACAAAATATATATTACTTGGGAAAAAGCGATATATACCATTATTGAGTGGCGAATTCAGGAATCCAAGTGAGTACGGATAACCACCCAATATAAGAATTTTTTTTCGACAGAGTCAGTACATGCGGCCGCAAGGACTTGTCGAGTACTGGCGTCGCCCTTGGATGAATACCATTACTCATGAGAATTAGCAATGAAAATGGATCCAAGTTGACACAATGGAGATTATTGTGCAAATTTTATACTCTTTTTCAAATCCCATAATCTTCCAAGTCAATTAATGGCAGATGTTCAAAAGCGCTAGGAATAAAATAATATTCATCATTAGAATGAGAGAAACCCTTCATCTGAAAATAGGCTTGCTTTGATTGTGACTCCACAGCGAAACTAGGCAATAAAATGATTAATTTCCTATAAAAAATTCAGCATGCTTACTTCAAAAGTTACATTACAAAAAGGTTGTAATAAAAGCAATACAATCCTAGTAAAACAGCTCAAGATTCCCGGCCAACGGTTGTTTCCAGGGTGGAAGGTTGCATAATCATTTGTCCAAAGCTAAAGCTAAAAGTCCCTATGTTTAAGAAATCAAGAATGAATATAAAAACTGAAAAACGAAAAGAGAATGATAATAATAACAAAAAAACGAAAATCCCAATTAGCATTTGGGAAGATCTGATGGCGGAGGTGGAAGCTTCTGATTCTGGCGCTTTCCATCCAAGACTATCCATGCCATTTTCAGTCACCAGCTTGTATGGACTTCCAAGTGACAGTGCATGAACCATACACCTATTCATTTATCAAAATTGATGAATTTGTTATCAGTAACTTCGCAAAAATATGGGATGAGATTTAAGTATCATATTGTTGCGTTAAAAAAGTGTCAATAAGTTAATGTACATCGTACCTGGATTGTCTGCAAGGAAGCGAATAGCAACCCACCCACCGGATGGCTCCCCAACCGTGTTTCTTTCAGCCGAATCAACCAAATTAAACTTAGCTGGATCCGTATTGGGATTGTAGTTGCCAAAGCCCTGACCTACCACGAAGAAATTGAAGCCGTGGAGGTGGAGGGGGTGACTCTCTGCACCAATTATGCTTGTATCCTGCATCACCAACTCGACTTTTGTGTTAAATGGAAGCACTGCCAATTTTATGCCACTTGTCACCATAATGTTGATCGGCAGAGTACCCGTGTAATTGAACTTGAATGGCGGATTGGTAGGAAAATCAGTGGTGTAGACTCTTTTGGATTTATTGAAGAAATGGGCTTGAAGCAGAGCAGTACTGGGCATTACAAATGACACATTGCTAACAGTAGCTGCTAACATTGTGTTATTTGGTCCCTGGCAAGTTTGGTTCTGATTAGTGCAGAGGCTCAGTCCTAGTCCTATCGTGAAGAAAAAGCGCCTATCAACTGTTTGAGGGACTTTGGCTGGAAATTTCGCGTTGGCTAAGCTCCGGATTTTATTACTGAATTTTGTAGCAAAAGTTGTATCATTGAACAGAGGAAGCAACGGTCTTAATAAGGGAAGATTATTGATTTTCTCGATTTTGTTTGAAGGGTTATGGTATTCTAGGATTTTAGCAGTGGTGGAATTGTCAAATGAAGCAGGGCCAGTGGCATAAGGCCTAGCAGCCATAAGGAAAGTGGCATTTGGATGGTTTTTTTTGTCTTTAGAAGGACATTAGTTGTCTGTCCACGAGTGATTAAAACTGTGTTTGTTTTAAATGGTTTAACATAGACTACATGAGCTTCGACAACAGTGAGGTTGTGGTTAGCAATGCTGAAGAAAAGTTCATCGTTGAGTGCAGCATTTATCAATCTCAAGAGGTATGTTTTCCCTGGCTTCACCTTCAGTTTAAGGGTATCTACATCACAGATAAAAACATCAAGTTTAAGATTTAACCGTGTCACCAGAAATTATTCGCCAATATTTCATGTAATTGATGAAACTGCCGCATTTTGCATTACAACATATTCTTTACCTTTAGCCAAACAATTGTACAAGGGTCCGAGAAGGCCATTAATGGTGTAGGCATCGGAAATGTTTGGTGCTCCTCCAGTTTGATGTGCTTGACTAATAATCGTCTCAGTATCAGCCTTCCACCATTCACCTATAATCCGAAAACATAGGATTACATCTTCTCAACTAATGTATAGCTATAAATTAACAAGTGATGTTATCTGCCAAAATATTACCAAAAATGATGGGGACTTCTTTGTAGGGTTGAGGAAATGGATAGGGAACTTCTCTTTTTGGAAGTATTACTATTGCTCCATAAACTGTCACTCTAATCCAAGAAATGTGGGCATGCCAAAATAAGGTCCCTCTTTGGCCAGTTACAGTGAAGTTGTACACATAACTCTGGCCAGTCTGAATTGGACATTGTGTGATATATGCCGGTCCATCAGCCCATCCGCTCCTAAGTTGTCTGATTCCGTGCCTATCATGTACGCGGGCACGTGTTTATTACAAATACTTTAACAACTCAAAATTATAATCCAGAGGGAGGTAGTTTAGTATGGTTTCATACCAGTGAATAGAGACATTGTACCGAACATGATTAACCACATTAACTATAACTCTATCACCTTCCCTTGCAGTGATAGTAGGCCCAGGAAGTTGGCCATTAACCGTCACAATGCTCTTTGTTTGGCACAACCTCGTCAAATTTTGCATTTTGATCTGTAACCCCGTATAAGACATTAAACAACTAAAGATTAACATTATGTACACAAACATTTCGTTAATGAACAAGGAAGCTATAAGTAATGCAACTTGGTGCATCAAAGAATTCACTTAAAATGCGATGAAGCACGTACATCAAATTTGTAGCGCCTCGTTATCCCAGCATGTTTGGCTAGTGCTAGCTCTACACTAAGGCACAAAATGGTAAGAACAAAGAGCAAAAGTTTAAGGAAGCTAGAAGCCATTGTGGTTTGATTGTATGATATGCAAATAAGAGAGAATGAAGTTGATTTGATGGGCTAAGAATTTCTTGGAGGGCAAAAACAAAGAGCAAGAATTTATATATTGAGTTAATTAAGGTATTAGGGAGTTAACAGATTGACAAAATGATCTGTTTATGCTGCTGGTCCAACTGTACTTTTGAGTGATTTGCAAGTGAAATTATATTTTAAAAATTAAATGCTGCTACATAACGGTTTCGACAGGGAAATCCTAAATGTCCTTATTTATTTTAACTGTCAAATATGAAATATAAATATAAATATTTTTTCAAAACGTTTCACCGTTGCTCATTTTTTAAAATTCCACGTATCATGTCTTTAATGAAAAAAAAAATCAAGCTGCTACCTATTAAAGCACCGTCCTGTCACAACGTTTGAGTTTTTGAAAATTTCATTTGTGAAGGTAAGGGACCTATTAGCATAAGAACTTCCAAAAGTCTCTTCTTGCTTGCTTTTTTCTCGTCTTGTAGTCTGTAGATTTCTGTAAATCTTTGGAATTAGAGCAATACTTAGTTTCAGACCAGCACTTTGTACACACATTATATGTTAGTAACAATTGGCAATTAGTAATAGAGGAGATATAGTTAGCTATTAGTTGTTGCTTTGTGCTTGTACCATGGAAAATAAGCAATTTCTAAATCTTGCTACCACTTTTGCTCTTTATATCCTGCCTGACTTCAATCACATTTTAATTAAATTAAAGGTCTTTAATTTTTATTGGACCCACAACTTTTATTTCCAAATTTATTTTCAACCATATATTTTATAGGATCCACAACTTCTATCAATTTTTTAACGCTAAATTTTCAAAAAATTGTAGGCGTTCAGCACTTCAATATTAAACTTTTAGAAGATGAATTGGAATATGGCGTTGGAATAATCAAATATCTTGGTTTTAAGTCTCACCACCACAATTTACTAAAATTAATTTCACATATCACGCCTTAATAGAAATGTGAATTTTAATTACGATTTACACTTGTTAAAGAAACTATTCAACACTTGAATCGTAAACTTTTAAATGAGGTAGTTCAATATGCTTTATTTACGAAAACTTCATTTGTCACATATTTGATGAAAAAGCAATTCACAAATTGTTTTGTAATAGGTTGAGTATAGACATAATGTATAAAATGTGTTCATGTTGATGGAAAAGGATTGATGTCCATACTGAGACAATGCATGGTTACCTAGTAGCCTTCGATACCCTAAGACCAAACGTTTAAGCTAATTAAGGTGTTTATAACCCCCACTTTGTTGGCTGTCGGATTCTAATCTTGGAAATTTTCGAACTACTTTGATGTTTACTTTTATGAAATTATAAATTAGTATTATGAAATGTATACCAGGCACAATCTTAGGTCATTGGACCCAAAATGATTAAACCCAAACGAATTAAAAAATGGTGAAAAGTTGTAATTAATCATGGTCGACTCTTACAAAATATGAGTACTGAATTGGTTTTTTAATAATGATGTCAACAACTTCTCGATCCTCAAAAGAGAAGTTGAACTGAAGTTGCAAACATGAAAGTGATAAGTAACACGGAAAAAATGATGCAAATGATAGAGTTGTGGAGGTTTGATCCTATGCTCCTCCGTTACTAAATTCTCCGACACGAGCAATGCCTTTTCACTAGATTTGTTGACTTGTGGTGCAATCCAATCCCTTATAAGCTTTCGGTGACTTACAAACAAGGAACATCGATCCTTGTACAATATTGAGCTTTTTGAGACCTCAATATGACCCACATTATTGAACTTTACGGGACCTCAATATGACTTACAAGTATAACAAAATAATTTTACAATGAACTCATCTCTTGATAATGATACAAATGAATTAAGCACTAAGAGAGGCTAACACTTCAATGAATAACAACAAATGATAGCTCAAGTGTTAGATGAAAACTTTGACGAATATGATAATTAAAAATTAGACTCAATTAATCAAAGTTTTTTAATGAGAAAATGAAGAAGAATTAAATGCAATTTAAGTTAAAAAATGTTCTCAAAATATTTTTCTTTTATAATGAGCGATAACAATAAATTAAGCTCTAATATAGAGATGAGAAATTTTGATAAATATGATAATTAAAAGTTTGATTCAATCAATCATAGTTTTTAATAGGAAGAAGTGAAAGAAAAATAGATGCAATGTAAGTTCAAAACTTTTCTTCAAAATATCTCTCTTTTATGAATGATAAAAAATAAGTTAAGAACAAAAAGAGAGATGAAGAACTTTGATGAAGATGATGAAAAGAGTTTGAATCAACCAAAGTTTTTGATACGAGTAAATAAATGAAATGAATGCAATGTTAAAGAATTCTCTTAAAATACATCTCACTCAATGCTCTTGAAACACTTGTGAAGAATGAAAAGAGTGAGGATATTTATAGAGTTCAAAAAGAAAAATACTACGTCGAACCAGAAAACCAATCGGATGTCCACCTTTAGATCTTTAGATCTGGACAACCAAAATAGCCGTTATGCATATGAAATTTAACGGTAAAAAATTTGACCGCTGCATCAATCGGACATCCGTCTTTCACGAATTTATAAAGAAAGATTTTGTGAAACTTTTTGGGGATTTTGACGACCAACTGGATGAGCATCGAGATGTCCACATGTCAGACTAGACGTCCAACCGTTTCGGCCGATTTTTAAGTTTTTGACCCCGTTAGATTCGATTTGGATATTTAGACTAATGTAGACTTTTGGAAGGTGTTTCTAATAAGTTTTCAAGGTAAATAATGTTTTAAGAATATGACCTAAGTTCAAATATCATTTTGAAAATAATTTTACTTTTGATCAAAATATTTTATGCAAGTGATAATCAAAATAGCTTTTAGTGCACAAAATAATTTTGAACTTTTATCTTTCATTGCTAAAGATCAAAGTATTGGTACTTTCACATTTGAACTAATAAATCTACTCTTTGATCTTATTTCAAAGTTTGGCTCTTAGACTCTCGTTTTGATCTTTCATTGAAGATTGACTCTTAAGCTCTTGATCTTGATCTTTCTTTAACATTTATCTTTAAGATCTTGTGACGACGATCGATCAATTTATCATCGAATGCTTTGAAGACTATAATTACTTTAAATTCAATTGTTAGTAAACAAGTAATCTTGTTTACTATAATCAAACTTTTAAGGTTATAATCAACTATAGGTCAATATAGTCAACGCCTTATTTCTATTGAAATCCCTTTACAACTAACCTTGCTTTATATTTTTTGCTACCTCAATTTTTTTTCAACCAGTAAATGTATTTATTTTGCAAAGTATTCTTCCATTTTAGTAACATTATCAATTGTCATGTCTGATTGGATAATAACAAGTTCATCTCATCTCTTATAGCTAACTTCCACTTGATTGATTCATCAACCTGTACAACTTCATTACAACTTTTTGGTTCACCTCTATCAGCAAATAAAATAGATTACACCATGTTGGAGAGTCTCTTTCTCGAAACCCAATAGTTTCATTAGATCTTCTAAGTTGAGTCAAAGGGATGTTTTGATGTACTCCTGCAGTCATATTTTCTCGATCTTCACTATCACCATTCTCTAACTCAATTGCAGAAAGGTATTTCAATCTGACACCTCAGCTTTCTTAATTTCAGGACATATGCCTTTAGGATCTATTCTCAACCCATCCTCATACGACACTTTCATTGAAGATCACATATTACTCTCGATAACTTTCAAATTTCGATCACCCCAGAAACGATAACCAAATTAGTTATTTCCATACCCAATAAAGAAACACATTTTTGATTTAGCATCAAACTCGCATTAGAATCAATGTGAATTTATGAAACACAATCAAACACTTTCAAGTATGTAAGATTTACCTCTTTACCAGTCCACACCTCCTCTAGTATTCTACAGTTCAATGGTGTTGAATAACCTTTATTGATCACATAAGCTGCACTGTTGACAGCCTCAATCTAGAACATCTTTGATAACCAAACATGTAATCTAATACTTCTAGTACACTTGTTTAAAGTTCTATTCATCCTCTCTATCAAACCATTTTTTAGTGTTCCTGAATTGGTCTTCTTCATCTTGATTCCATTATCATCACAATAATTTTTGAAATTATCATCTACATATTTTTCCCATTATCTAACGGCAAACACTTCATCTTCATATCTATCTCATTTTCAACAATTGCTTTCCATATCTTGAAGGCATCAAAGACATTAGATTTATTCTTTAGAAAATAAACTCATACATATACGTAATAATTGGAACCTCCAAGTGAAGTAATAGTTGAAGGTTCCCATACATCCATATAAATTAACTCCAATTTTGTAGCTTTTGACTCCCTTCCGATTTTACATAAACTAGACCATTTTTGCTAACTAAAAATACAACATTCACACAAATGGTGTTCAACAAATTTCATCCATAGTAGCTTTCCTTTAGATTGAATCACTTTCATCCTATTCTTACTTATGTGCCCCATCATATAGTGCCATAAATCAGATTTGACATCCTTAAATTGACATTACCAATAACGACAATACCCATAGGTTTTCCATTAGTAAGATATACGTTTTCATAATTTCCAGCAACATAGTTCTTCATAATCTCAAGATGTAAAGTGGTGTAAAAAATGCTCCTGAATGCATCATCTAAGAATTAATAGGACCGTCAACCAACAAGAGTATAGTATTTTGTACCTTTTCAGTCAATGCACTA